CTGATGAAGAAGATCGAGAATAGAGTATGTGACTCAGACTGTTGCTGAGGGATAAAGTGTGCTGCTGGTCTGCATATTTTTGTGTTTTTGTTTTCTTTACAGAATGCATTTTAATTGTGATGCTCTTCATGAGCAGTTTTTTTTGTAATTCCCCAAACATTTGTCATGTTACACATTATGATCTATGCTAGTTTATTAGTTGGATCTTAATTTGTGGCTAAAAAGGGGGAGAGGGTGATAGAAAACAACAGGAAAACAGCATGTACAGCAGGTGGAAGACTGGCATGTGTGCTGCATATGTATTGTTGTACATGTGAAATAAACATGCTTGCAGGTGTAACCAAGGTGCTGCTGCATATGATGTGTGCTAACAGCTGATGCTTATGCTGTTGTTGCAGATGATGTGTGGTAACAGATGATGTTGTTAGTAATTTCTGTGAGCACAAGTGTGTGAGACTTTAGAATGCTATCCTGAATGTCATGACATCCAGATCAGCCTAGATACATCCAGATCAGCATGGATGAGTTATCTGTGACTGCAAGCTGTGCAGGTTGTGCCTAACCGATGTAGAATGCATCAGTTGAGGGGGAGTAACCTAGTGTGTTACTCAGCTATGTGACATCTGTAGTGCTGACTAACAGATGGTAGAAATGTGTGAACAAGTTGATCCTGAGTGAGCTGAGTGCTAACAGAGTGAATGTGTTTAGCTAGTAACTTTCCTGCATGACAGGGTGTAAGTTAGGTCTTCGGCTGCTTGTAATTCTCTAATATGATAACAGAGTGTTTTAGCCAATTTTTTTCCAAAGGGGGAGTTTGTAAGTGCTCTTGATTGGCTGCATTTTATGGCAAAACATTAGAGTATGTAGGTATGTCATACTGAATGTTAAGACATACATAATAATGAGTGTGCAGGGTAGGTTGAACTTAGCTAAAAGTAAGTTAAGTTGAATGTCATACTCAATGTTATGACTTGGATCGTATGACATCAAGCGCAGGTTTGGTTTTCTGGTATTTAGAAATCAGGAAACTTAATAGGAGCTCAAGCTGGAAGTCAGGAAACATTTTAGAAGCCCTAAGCGAAATAAAATGTCCTTGAACTAACTGGTAAGCGTGCAGATTATTGAAGAGAGGTTAATTATGGATAAACCTAATTTCTGCACAAAAGACCCAAAGACTAACTACTGCTATAAATATCAGAAGGAGCAATCCTAGAAGAGGAGCTCTTAACAGAAGATTAGAGAGTGCATATTAAGAGTCCTTGTGAGTGAAGAAGGCTTGTTCTTCACGTGTGAATTGTGTCTTAGGAATACTTGTACTCCAAGCAATTGTCTGCTGTATGATTGCATTGGTTAGGTAGGTTCTAAGTTGTGTGTCACTCAAAGTTGTTAAGCAAGAGTATGTGTCACTTGATCAAAGTTGTGAAGCAAAATCAAGGTGTGTATGAAGTGTTTCTTCATATTTATTATAATTGTGAATTGTATATCATTGAGGTGATTGAGGGGGAGTGAGTGGGTATACTCAGGTCTAGAGTGTCTCTAGGCAGGAGTGTCATTGGGTAGGTATTAAGTCAGGATTGCAAAGTGAGTTGTTTGACTCTGAATTAATTCTGCTGATAGTGAATTTCCTCCCTGGCTTGGTAGCCCCCAGATGTAGGTGTTGTTGACACTGAACTGGGTGAACAATTGTTGTGTTATTTACTGCTTTCCTTTACAGTTTATTTAGTAAGTGCAGTAGTCAATGTCACAGTGGATGTTACAACTTCTGTGATAACATCCATCGTGTGCTTGCCAGAATTTCACGGAACCTTAGCAAAAACTTCAGACTTCGCCAGGAAGAGTCTCCTTGACGTGAGGCCCGTTATCAGAACCCTCACGGGGAAGAAGCCCCCTCGACACGAGAATTTATATACCCCTGCGAGGAGAAAGTTCCCCTGGTGTTTAGCCTAGCAAAGACATAAAACCCTCACGAGCTTCATCGAAAAATTCATAAGTTCCCCGAAAACTTCATGAGTTCCTCGGAGGCTTCATCAGAAACTTCATGAATTCCCCAGAAACTTCATGAGTTCCTCAGAAGCTTCATCCGAAACTTTATGAGTTCCCTGGAAACTTCACCGGAACTTCATGAAGTTCGGAAATTCAAGAACGCCACCAAAAAGTTCATAAAAATTATCGGAAAAATCATAACTTCATCGCGAAGTTCATGAACGTCGCTAGAAAACATGTATTCTTCTCTCTTCCTACTCAAGATTCAACGACAACCGATGATTGAGGATGGAAAAACCACCGTCAAACGCCAAGACTCACCGGAACCGGATCCTAAAGCTACAACCTAAGGCTAACCACTACCATACAAACTGAGAAAGGAAGCGAAGAATTACTTAGGTGAAGAGGATGTTGGAGATCTACGGTGACGGAAAGAGGCTGACGACGGTGACGAGCGAATGTGGGAGAGAGCAGAAAAACTCTTGAGAAATTCTTAAAGTACTTGAGAATATTGCGAGCGTACCAAATGAATCCCACCTCCTCCTACTTATATCCTCTGGCACGGGAAAATGAATTGTCACCTAGACCCTCGAGTACCCCTACTCGTAGACCATCAGAAACATTTATTATTTATGACACGTGGCTCGAAGAGACGTCACACTTGTCTTTTCAAGCCTCACTACAAGGCTCGAGGAAATGACGTGTTTTCTCCTTCCACTTCGTCACATGGCCTGGAGTTCGTCGTTCCATGTATTGTCAATGATCCAGATTCCAAGACGTCTCACATAATTCTCGACTCCCAAACTGCATTACAAACACGTCTTTGGAGAAGGATTTGAAACGAGCCACATTGTCGAACACAGATAACGACTTTGGCCCCTCGCAAGCACATGGCCTTAAGATAAATGCAAAATTGAACCTTGTCGTCGACCACGCGTGAACCTCACGGGTAGTGTCTCGATAAAATCTTTTTACATGCTCGCGCTGTTGAGCACGAGGAGTAACTTTCACGCTTCCTCACGACGTAGCTCTACGAGCTCACAACCACGAACCCGAGTAGACGCTCTCCCTGTGTAAATTTCCTTTGTTCCTCTTTGGACGTAAGAATTGACTCTAAGTCATTACCCATCTACTTTGGAGCATCAACTTGAGAGACTCCTGTTCTGAATTGGGCCTAGGGATGGCCCACCGTCGGGAACAGTCCAGCCTAGCTTCGCGTCGAAGAAGGCCCAACACAAAGGTTCAATCTATCATAATCGCGGGAGGACACATTCTCTAGACGTTCTCGACATGCTCCTCACGCGAGGACACGTCACCAACTGAACCCACGCCCTTCACGGGGCAGCGCCTTTTCCCCCAGGAACCTGCAAATCCATTCCAAAGTTCATGGGACAATTGATCCAAGACGAAGACCTCGTGCTAGTCTCCCCTATTTTCACGTAGGATCCTACCAATCATCCGTTGTGGGTCTAACGATCCAGTCCACAACAAATGACCTTTGCCCCAGTGCTGGGGGCACACTATAAATACTCTCCTCCGCAGGAGGTCGCGTATTATGAATTCATTCTCACTATTTTGTACTTGCTTTTTCTTTTCACTCTGAACTTCACTTTGACATCAGTGTCTTACAGGTACATCCCCTCCTTTTCTTTATCACTGACGAATTTAGAGTCCACGACATGTTACTGAGTGCTGATGGTATCTCCAATTAAGATCAAAATTTATTTTCAATTTTAACTTTTTTCTTTTTTATTGCAATAATTAATCTATTATAATAGAAAAATAATATACACACGGTACCCAGTATCACTAGCCCACTATCTCACTTTTTCTACCACATCAAAATAATATCCATTCAAATAAAATTTGATATTATCATCAAGTATAGTCATAGAGTCAACGCACAAGTTTATATTAGTTGAAATATTCCTAGAGTCAGCGCACAATTTTATATTAGTTGAAATATTCCTAAACTATAATGTATACATAAGCCTCTCATCTAAAATTGTCATTTTATATTTACTTCATTATTTCACATCTCATACAAAGACTCTAACTCAAATATTATAATATTAGATATCACAAATGAAGAAAAAAAATTCCTCTAATACCCGCGCAGCGTGATGGTTAACATCTAGTTTTTATTATTTTCAGGTGTAAACAACAATTAATATAAATCAAGTAATATTTTCTGATTTTTTTTAATAGTCACAAATTTTAAATTAGAAAAAAAAAACAATTTTTGTTATAACTATTGGTTTTCAAATATTGTTTCCACGATTGCTCGTAGTAGACAATCAACATGTATCAATCAATTGAATTTGTTAAATAAATAGCTTTAAACATATCATAATTAATAAAGAACATAAATTAGAATTACAAATAGTGTATTATGTACCTACTCAAATTAATATTTATTCGACAAAATTTATGATCATGATTCCATTCTCTAAATCATAAGAAATCAAAGTATCTCAATCCTCTTTTATTCCTTCTAAACTTATTTAGAAATTTCTTATTCAATTAAAAATATTATGAAAACCATTGATCAAGCGGGTATATAAATCTTTGATGAAACAACTCAAAGTATTAGTCGAACTTGTTTTTACTGCGATCTGCGATAAGATTTAAACTATGTTCTTCAATAACATAATCAAACTTAATATTAAGCTAACATATAATGGATAGTAGTGCAAAAATCTAAGTTATTCTGTTACAAAGTTTAGTAACCAGTAACAATTTACAAGTTTTTTTTATTCATATGTCTCAAACTGTATCACATTGCATTTTGTAACTTTCTTTATACATAGAATTAACAGAACAGAAATGGACATTAGAGAATTTTCAATGCTCTATTACTTTGTTGTACAATGGAAGTATTTGGTTCATTCTTCACTAATAACAAATAAGGACCTTTTGAGATATCCTCCAATTATTGAAGGATCTTTTGTTTAAGTTTAAGCAAATGTATCTAGACTAAAGAGCACCAATGGAGAGAATAACGACTCTATTTTCGATCAGTGTACGAGTTCCTGTGTCAAAAATAAAAGTTTTTGGGTAAATTGCTCCAGACGCTAAGTATCAAAATATGATCCAAACAAAAATAATCAAAATATAATTTTTAGTTCTACCTACCTGTTGAACCGATTGATTCGGTTTGATATTTAAATGTTTCTAAAAAGAAAATTATAATTAGATTTGATTCTACTTACCAACTTACATGTTTGCATTGTGACTACGGACCCCACTTCATGAGCACATTGATATTGCTTGCCGCATAATCTCTGAATTTCTTCATTGACCAAGTTCATCATCTTAAAATAAAATGTCGAGACAAAAAGTCGATAAGCTCACATTCACCGAATGTGTTTTATATAAAATAAAACTTTGGTGAATGTGTACATTTACAACTACTAACATACCTCGTGCTCTTGGCGCGACGATTCACGTCTATTCTCCTTCAAGCTCTGCAAAGTAATGATAGAAATATAACCATGAGTCACTAGGGATGAAAAAATGCAAACTTATTAAAATGTAGTTTTGTTTTGTTATAGTAGTTAATTCTTAAGGTCTTTGTAAAGATTTTTTTATAATGTCGATCAATCATAATCGTCATATCAGTAAAAATGTGTAACTTTAAGCATAACTAATTTTATATAGAAAATCGAAAACTAAATTATTTTTTTCGATTTTTTTGTGAGAATAGAAAATTGTAATGTTGGTCCAAATAAGTCCTTAGTTGTCATAAGAATACCAAGAGAGATGGACCTTAGAAATTGATTTCTCCTTTGGTTGTGATTTTGCAGTTTGTTTGGCTTCAGAAGTTAGGGTGAGCTGCAAAAGAGACCATAAAATCATAAAACAGAGATAGAAAATAAAATGTAAAATGACAAAAAAATTGCAATTAGTTACTACCTTGCTAAGTAATTCAGTTGGTGGTTCATCATGAAATCTCTTGTCGTTTTGTTCCTAAAAAATCGGGAAAAAATGAATTACAATAAAAAATACAAATCAGTGTTGTCAAATATCAGAACTATAGTGTGTTAGCATAGGAGAGTATGAGTAAACTACTATGATACACTATCTGTAATTGACAACAGACACAAATATGATAAATTTAAATATGTTTTCAATGCATTACCAATGGAAATACTTTGATATTCCGAAAAACACCTCTTTCTTCTTTATTTGTGAGTTTCTGAGAACAACGTATATAAAGTCAATGATCTATTTTGACGAAAAATGAAACAGAAACAAAATGTGTCGCTTAAATGTCAATAGCCTAAAATTTTTAATGATTACTTACCTTATCATCGGTGCTAGCTCGGAGTTTGCTAATCATTCCACACTTTTCCTGTTTTGAGTTTGTCCTTTAAAAGAAATAGAACAAAATAAAAGCAAGGTTATTATTGCTGGTGAGAATGCACACAAAAGTTAACGTGTAAGAATCTACATAGCACCAACACTTCAAATTAAACGTGTCTGGTGTCTGATACCGACACATGTTACAATCAATTACTTATATATTTTTTACTCATGAGAATGCATACAAAAGTTACAGGTAAGAATGTACATAGCAATGACACTTCATATTGAAAGTGTGTCTGGTGTTTGATACTGACACATGTTGTTACACAATTACTTATATATTCTTTGTTCATGAGAATACATACAAAAATTACAGGTAAGAATCTATGTAAAACTGATACTTCATATTGAAAGTGTGTCTGGTGTTTGATACCGACACATGTTGTTACATTCAATTACTTATATATTCTTAATTTATTAGAGTGTCTACGTATTAGTGTCGATGTCATATTTAATGTCCTTATATGTAGATATCTCGACGTCACCTGGTTTCCATGTTTGAGATGGAACTTGTGTTCAAAGCACCTCCACCCTGCAATGCAAAATATATATCAGGGAACTTTGTGAATATAATCCTCTACTTACAAGGGAAACATTATAAACCGTAATTACTTTTTTAGTTAAGGACCGCGTTTTAGGAACCTGAAAACCCGGTTTTGCATGTTCACCTGATTCAGTATTAGTTCTAGACCTATAAAAAAGGAACAGAACCACTCAACATTTTGACTCATAAGATATAGTCATTCAATAAAAAGGTTGCAAAACAATGTTTTTTATGATATCAGAAGTAATTAATATACTTGTGTCTTTGTGCTCTGAGTGCTGTTTGCAGATTAGGTTCTCGAGGAATAGTAGTGTTTGGTTTAGAGGCTAAATTTACATCTGCACGATCAACCTGCATCAAAATTTAAAATCAGACATGTAAGAATAATAGATCTGGGTTACTTCCCCTCCTGATCTTAACATTCCCCTCCTGATCTTAACAATCTTAGACTATTTAATACAAAGTATTGTGAAATAGCAGCTATACAGATGCTATAGCACTATAGCATGACAGAATTCAAAAAAATGCAACTTTTGCGACCCGCTATCGAAAAAACTGTAATGGATTAAACTTCGTTTAAAATTGATTACCTCATTATTTTTCTTATGTGTGAGAAGAGTTTGATGCTTCAGGTGTGCAATCTTACGCAGGAAACCGGCTTCAAGCTTCTGCCTTTTGGTTAATAATTGGCCGTCTATGGATGAAGAACTTTTTTCCTGATTCCTGCAAGGATCAAGGTATTGAAAACAACGCATTCTAAATCAAATCAATTTGAACTCAAACATATGCCACTCAATAAAATGAAAAATGCGTAATTAGTTACTCAATATGCAATTGACAACACTGATTTACTCGATCAATGTTGTCAATCACAAATTTCATAAAATAGTGTTTTCTTCAAATTCGGCTATGCTGCAATGCTATAGGGCTACGCTATAGCGCCGGTATAGAAACTATTTGGTTTCTTAAATGTAACCGATACCTTCTGAAATGTTGAGAGGTTTGAACTTCGGGAGGGTTCTTCAGCTTGGCCAAATGACTTGCGGTTGGTTGCATAAAAGTATAAACTTTAGATTTTGATGAACTTGATCTGCTCAGTGTCTTTACCTTATCATCTAAAGCATCTGGTGATTTTTTATTGCAATTTTTTACTCCTAAAAACAAAAATGTATTCAATAACTAAATAAGAAAATGACAATGTAAGATAAATCATCTAGATTCAAACACTTGACATGAATATTAAGTAGGCAACAATGTGAACATATAATGTCGTCATCATCATTTTTATACTTTTGATAAATAAAAAATTGAAGAAAATGTTTCATAAGTTTGATATTATGGTCACATTCGCAATCAGAGTCATGTCAATATCACAATTTTTTATATGGCGGTCACATTCGCGATCAGAGTCACGTCAAGATCACAATCACATTCGCAATTAGAGTCACAACAAGATCACAATTTTTGATATTGCAGTCATATTCAGCTTTAAAACCTCGCAACAAGGCAAAATACAAACATTGATGAACAAAAATGAAAAACTTTACCACTACTATTATTGTCATCCATTGCTTGAAGATCAACAAGTCCATTAGCATTTTCCATTTCACCATCGTTCCCCCATTTAAACTTCGATACAAATGCTACACACAAAAACAACACATTACAAAAACAAAACCAATCAAAAACTAAATAACATTCCCCGCATGTTCAAAATCAGGCGAGTTTGCAAAATCCCACAAATTTACAACGCAACTTTTCAACATTTTTCAAAAAGATAACATCGAGGTTTAACCATAATCCTTAAACTCTTACGTGAAGGTGGATAACTTGTTGCAAATTCAAACCATTGTTCGGCTTCACAATCATCCAAAAACGATTCCGCTTTTGTAAAATCAAAGAACATAGGAGCATCAAATTCATATTTAACATCAACCACATCCTCCAAACACAAACAATTGTCTTGAACCTCAATCTCCACGAACCCTTCCATCTTTTTCAAACTCTCTCATACAAAAAACCAAAATCCTAACAACCCATCATCAAAAAAAAACACATTTAGAAACCCAATTCAGAATCAGAATCAAGTTTCGATTTTTCAATTATTCATCAACAAGGGTCTCCCGTTTCCACCTCTCTCGTTTCAAGGAAAATTTTGATTTTTCCCGGAAAACGAGAGAGAAAGTTATGAATGGTGATAAATGAATTATGATTAGTAGAGTGAAAGAGTGAGAATGATGATAATGATTTGGTAATAATTGAAATTGAAAGAATGGAAATGGAAGAGATTATGTTGTCGGAGAAAATGGCGAAGATTTCGTTGATGAGAATAAACAGAGGAATAACAGAAAGAAAGAAAGAGAGGGGAGAGAAAAACAGAGAAGAAATTGAAAATTGAATATATGAAGGGATTGGTTAGTTTTTTTTCTTTCTTTATATGGAGCCGGCTTAAGATAGTGACAGAAAAAGATTATTATTACCAAATTTTGAATTTTCTATGTTCAAATATAATATAAAAGAAATCTATATAATATAAGAAAGATATCTATATAATAAAAGAAAGAAATTTATTATGTAAATCACTCATATACTCTTTATTGTTTTTTTTTATTTGTTATTTTACTTGAGTTAAAAATAATTCTAGTTCAAAACATTTTTTAAACTATTTTTCTATATTTAGTTCTTTAACTATATTACTCATTTTTACAATTCCTTTAAAAAGTAAAGTGTGTTTTTTTTTAAACTTATTAAAGTTGTTGTTTAAACAAGAATTTAACCATTTTTTTATATTTACTGGAGTTCCTTTATTTCTTTAACTATGTTATTCATTTTTGCAACTTCATTAAAAAATTAAAAAATAAGCTATTTTTATCTAAAACTTATTAAATTTGTCAACCATTTCTAATTATATAACTATAACATCACACTTTTGCTGTCTTCAACAAATGCATACTATCTATATTATCTATACACAGGCAGGCTTCATACATTTATTTATTTATTTATTTATTTTTATTACTATTACTAACGTTCAGATGGGCACACTCTTTTTAATGCGTATGAATAAAAAATATAAATAATATTTTTTTGTTTAAATAAAGATTTTAAAAATTACAAATGTGAAAGTTAAAAATAAAAAGTTAGGTGGAAGTTAATAATAAGAAGTTATTAAGTAAATTACATAATCAAATAAGGATAAAAATGATAGAAAAATAAGTCATACTAAAATAAAGTATTCTCTTCATATATTGTATAAATTATTATTATTATATTCTTCGCTTTTTTATATGTGCACGGGATGTCAAAATCTAAACGGATATTTTTTTTATAAACTTTATGATATTTTTTCTTTTTCTTTGACTGTTTTTATTTTATTTTAAATATTTATTTTAAATAGAAAGTTATAAACATTAAAATAACAGAAGCAATAATAAGAGTGATTAAAAAAATTAATAGAAAATAGAAGATGTGTCATCCAATAAATAACGTGCATTCCATCTTAATATTTATAACTACATAAAAATGATATATTCTTTTAGACTGATCTATTTTATTTCTATATTTATCCTTTAACTATTATTAAAATCTCAAATAAATTATTTAACAAAACCAAACACACATAACTTACTTTTCAAAGTGGTGGTTTTCAAACAAAAAAAAACAGCGCATTCAAACAAAAATTATCCACGCTTATTCAATGATAGAAAAAACTGGTTATCATTATTAAAATACATACCATAACCACATCATATTTTCGAAAAAAACTAACACACACAACTTTATAAACATGAGAATATCCAATGATAGAAAAAAAAAATTTAGAAGAAAGAAAATATATATAGAAGCAATTCAGACAAATTTTATTTATTATCTATTAATTTTTTTTAATGTGAGTTATATGTTGATCCTAAATTTTAATGACCGTGGATAGTTAGCGAGAAGAAGTAACTTGGATGCAGGTGATCAACAAAGGCCTTGGTAATTCTTATGAGCATATTTATTCTTCTGTTAACTTAAAAAGGAACAGTATAGGTGTATGGCAGGAGACATGTATGTTTTTTATTGCCAATTTGCCATCAAATAATTTGAATTTTGAAATGTTATATATTAAAATGTTCTTGTAACACTCATATATGATACATGTTTAAAATATACATATTATATATGGTTGTAAAGTTTGGTCCTGAAATACATAAGTCTGTAGTGGCAACATTGTATATATTACATGGCAAAAATAGATCTAGAACAATGGCACAATCTACACAAGGGTGCCCAAAAATATAAAACTAGGATCTAGATCTTGGTAAGACGATCTCAAAATAACTGCACAGCGGATACGTGATCCAAAATAATAATAAAAAACAAGGACATCAGGCTACTTTGTCTTTACCCTTTGTTTGATCAAAACCACCTGAAAATAATCAACAAATATGGGGTGAGATAATAATCCTAGTGGACTCCCTATCTTATGGGTTCTCTCAACTCTACAAGGTTCTAAACATCTTACTAGCTCAAGTCACAAAGGAGAGGAAAGACTTGAGTTCACAATTATTGCACTATATGGAAACATGTTGCTTGAGTTCATCAACTCAAACGATCACTAATCGAAAATCATACCAAGGCATCTTTTCTCGACCAACCTTATGTCTAAAGTTATCAACACAAGACATGGATCCTTGTATCATACTTTGACATACGCATAGATTTCGGATTCTATGGGATAACATCAACCTTAAGAATTTTCGCTTTCTATGAGACTCCAAATTCATTTCAAACCTTTCACCCGTATGAGACTCTAACTCACTTAAGTTTCCATCGTTTCTTTGGGACTCGAACCCAGGTCAAAGTAATGGTGTGTACATCCCAATACTTACTCTATATAAGCCTCATACTTAGGACGACACAATTAAGGAGTTGTTTATGACTACGTGATTAAATAAGGGCATTGTGATTGTATTCAACAACCACAAGGAGATCACATCACCTTAGTATTCATAACAACATCACATGTTTCATACAATCCTCACCTCTTAGATAAACAACCACTTGCCCATGAAACACACCTAGGTATCATATGTATAAGCATTACCATATATGCCATTCATCATATCTTAATTATCTTACTAATTTATTCCATTAATTACTATTTAAGGGTTTCCTCACCAATCATTATAGTTTTCCAGTCATGTTATCATTTAATCACAAACAATAATTCATAAGTAGAAAACATGCATAACACCCGCAAACCATAATAATTAACATAAGTTAATTCATAAAAAAGCTAAAACATGCATATGCAATACCTTAAACAAGTGACAAAATAATTTCCTTAAACCATGTCATGGTCACCCGAAGAGCAGCCAACTAGGCTGGCTCGCTTTTGGTTCACCCGACGAACCTCAAGCGAGGCCTAGACAGAGGCAAAATTGAATCATGGTTTCCCGGTGAGCAACCAGCGAGCTAGATCGCCTTCTGTTCGACAAAGCTTGCCCAGTGTTGCTGATAGAAAATAGCTCACCTTGAGCTCGCCAAAACTCGCCCGAAGAGAGCGTCGTTTTCTGCATAAATTCAGTAGAGGTGGGATAGCATGGAAGGGTTTTTTGACCCAATACTCATATATGATTATTCACAACAAGGGTACTAGCATATGATCTAAACATTGTATCATAATCAACATGGACAACAAGAAAATCATAAGATTCTTCATGGAAATGGAAGGAAATATATCAATAAACCAACATCATCAATTTCTATCTAAAGCCCCTAACTTCTACAACCTAAAGCTTCTACCTAGAACCCTCCTTGCTAATGAGATAAAGAAGTGTTGGATGATGAAGATGGAATGAGGTTGATGAAGTAATGATGATGAGCTTCCAATTTTCTTCTTCTTGTTCTACTAGGCTTCCTTCTTTTTTACCCTCTTTCTTTTCTAAGCCTTTCCCACAAAGTTGGAAGAAGAAAATGATACATAGAGGTATTATGTGGAACAAGTTAGAAAGATAAGTACCATATGTGGTCATGAAATGGGGAGACTGCCGGTGGATGGAGTTTTTTTCCTAAAAATCTCTGATTACATGTTGCTCCTCAGCCTAACTTATGTTTGATTTTAAACAGACATCCATCAATTGATAGTGCTTATAAAAACCTTGATAACGAATGGTAAGATCCTCCTTCTACCCATGTCTACTGCATTAGACACATCACTCAAAATTTCATGTGGGAGATCAAATACAAGACGTAATAGAAGAATGTTGTGAACGTGTGGTTGTCGCTACTGCGAAAAAGGTGCCGACAATGACAGAAGAGTCGTCACCGTTTGTTATTTATCCCAAAAGAGGGAAAGGAAACGATCAGAGAAAACCTGACAAAAATGGGAGAAGACAGGTCATTGCAACCATATCTCGGGTTCGGGAGTCGGTTACGCAAGGGGAAGGTGTTAGCACCCCTCATGTCCGTCGTACTCGACGGGATCCACACTTTGTTGTCTATCTAAATGGTGTTTATCTATATAATCTACGGCTCAGGGACAAAAGAAAAGAAGAAAGACTCGGCAGAGCATCGCCGCTCTATGCCTACGTATTCCCTCGTGCAATGGGAAAATCAGAGTCAACATAGTTCGGCTAACTACGGGTGAAAGGTGGGGGAAGGTTGCTCGCCAAGACGTCGCAGTCGTGTGCCTACATATTCTCATCTAGTATGAGAAATCAAAGCAAACGTAGTTCGAGCTAACAAGAACACCGGTTGGTTCAACTGTTTTTAGGCCCGAGTAGGGTTAAAACTTAGTTCTAGCAGTTAGGTGTATGCAGCTCGACCATTGGAGACTTAGGTGTTACCTGTTTGCGGTAGAACCAAGAGTTAACAAAATTCTCTTATGAAAAGTTTTTCCACATTAAGGGTCCCAAAGGACAAAATGAAGTTTGAAATTATTTTTGTGTCTTTTAGAGAAGAAGTGCATTGATTATTGTTTGTAACTCATGTTGCACTAAAGATTAT